AACTGGGAAAATGAACAGCAGACCCCAATCTTATCTAAAGGAATATTGACAACTGATTGCTGCTAGATGAGGAACAGCTGACCTTCCTAAAACAAAGACCTGTAGATAGGCTGACTAGATTCACCAGATGAACAAGTAGTGGGGAATGGCTTGGGGTGCTAACAGCACAGCAGGCAGTAGCAGGGATATCAGAGTATAAGGGCTCTAGTGGGGGGAGGGAGTCTGGGAGGGTGCCATCTAGGAAGTGGGTGTATAGTTGAATAAGATGCTTTGGGATATTCTGTGTGATATACACACAAACAAAAAAAATCAACAAACCCCACAAAAGTATTATGTTTGAGGAGGAAGCATAAAAATTTATGTCATGTTAATTAGTAGAGGTGATAAATATTTCCATTGAAATCTACCTGATGACTTTATACACATACACAGGCACCAAGGATCCAAGTGCAACTGATTATGACTAGTAATACTCAGATACATACAGATTAGAGATGCATGCGCCAACATCTCAGTGTTAGTAGCAAAAACAACGAGTCTTTCTGCAAGGAACAATATATTCTATAATGAAATGGAGATCTTTTTTAAGGGTTAAAAACTCATTCAATTTTCTGAACATGTTAAATCTGTAGTGAAACGCTTCTTCTAATCACGTAATTATTAAAAATTTTAAAAAATGATTAAAAAAATAATTCTTCAAACATAAAAATTTCCTCCTTAATAATTAGTAGATGTGAAAAACATTACCATTGAAATCTACCTGATGACTTTATATCCATGCTCAGATGCCAAGGAGCTCGGAAAGTAACTGACTGTGAATAGCAATAATCAGATGTATAGAGATTAGAAACGTGTGTTCAAACATCTTAATGTCAATTACATTAAAATGAATTTTTCTGTATGAAACTGTTTTTAATAATAAAGAAATGGAGATCTTTTTTAAAGGTTAAAACCTCATTTTGTTTTATAAGGTTTATACTGAATACAATATTGTATAACTAATAATTCAACTGTAAATCTAAAAATTTACAGCCAATTTTGAAAGAGATGCATCTTAGCTCAGGAAATTGTTATTGAATATGTCAATGCTGTTGTAATGAAATGCTTCTTCTAAGTATGTGGTTATTAAATAATTTTAAAAAATATTGAAAAATGCAAAAATAAAATAACCTACTAGCACAAAAGTTTCAAGGATGCAAGCCACATGCATGATGGTTTAGCAGAACTGGGTTCCCTGTACAAAGCCTGGAATGATCATGTGCAGACTAGAATTCCTACCAAAAACCCAAGTCATCTGCTCTAAGTTTAAGGTAGAAATAGGTACCCAGGAGAAGATCCATGCATCATATAAATGCCGTAGGCTCAACTTCGTGTTCCCTGCTTCCCACTGAGACCAATTTTGAGACACCAAGCAAATGGGCTATTAACCTCATTTTGAAAAATAACAGCTGTGGACTGGTTTACAACGCCCTGGGTACGTTTACATACACGGAGGCAAAACACTCATACGCATAAAATCAAAATAAATAAAATTTTAGAAATAAGAAATCGGTAATACTGAGGAAGTATGATGGGGGTGGAGCAAATAGGAGGGTGAGGAAATGGAGACTTGATTCATGAGACTCAGTATTTCTCATGATTTCAACCAAGTGAACATGTGACCAGTTCCGACAGCAACAATGTGTAATGGGAACTTTTTTTTTTTACCCCCAACTATCCAGGTATCATTATTGAGTGGGTTTCTTCAGACATCTGGTCTGCTATTTTTTTAGTAATGAGGAAAATGAAATTTTTTGTGTATGTGGTTATGAAAGGATTATATCCTGATTTTGTCTGTTTAGCACTGTAGTGCTATCTGTGACAAAGGATTGATTCTTTAAAATTTTCCAGTCTGCCATGGCCTGGTATTTTGGCAAACTTGAATAAAAAATAAATAGCTGATCATGTGCTTGGGTACTATGGCAATGTCAAATTGCCATGAAAGTTTCTGAAGCTTTCTCTCAATTTCTTTTCATTGCAGACCAGTCAAAGGCACCACATGGGTCAATCTATACTTGGTATAGACTGTAAGGCTACTGTCCACCATCATTTTTTGGCATTTGGTGTTGTGGATCAGAAATTTTGACACTGCTCCTATTGTTTAAATGTTTTGTTAATTTAATTTTTTCCATTGTGAGTAACCTATTTTCTTTTGTAAAGATATTTCTGGCTATAATTGAAACAAGAGGCATTTGCCGCAGCTCCTGCATTCAGCAGTACCAGTGTGCTTCCAAAAGCCCTTCATAGACTCATAGTACAGTTCTTTGCATTGAAGATGTGTTGATGCTAACAGGGCTTTTGGTCTTGGTCTCAGTAGTTGGTTTTCCCACTGCCGTCAGGACTGCCACCTGGTTGGCAGCAAATCTTCAATGTCATTGATTTCAGAGATGTTAAGATATAGAAAAACATGGGTCCCAGTACATCTTACAGATGGACCCTTGACTGTTCTAGCATCTAATTATAGCTGATTGCTTGGTGACTAACTTGGGAGATGTGCCTACAGTGTCCGCCTTGGGAGAAGGTGGGAGGAAGTCTTTAGTGACCTGAGGAAACTTCACTACACTGCTGAATGGCATCTCTTCTTTCAACTGGTATCAGCTGGGGCACATTGTCTCTTCTCTAATTGGCTAGGCTTTCCTCATTGGATTTTCTATCACTTTCCACCTTATTGAGTGAGACAGGGTCTCTCACTGAACCTGGAGCTGACCAGTTGGCTAGACTGGTTTGCCAATGAGTCTCTAGTCTCCTCCTGTCTGGCTGTCTGCATCCTCTGCCCCACCCCCCACATCCCCCCTGTTGGGATTACAGGCATGCCTCACCACATCTGGCTTTTTACATGAGTTCCAGGGATCTGAACTTGGGTCCTCATGCCTGCGCAGCAAGTACTATACCCACTGAATCAAATCCCCATCCCCGCCATTCATTTCTTCACCATGCATTTAACGGAGTGCCTCCTCTGTGTCCCACATAGTTATTAAGCACTGAGGGCACAGCAATAAATGATAAATGTGGAATATCTACATTCTGGTCTTCGTTGAGATGTCCATTTTGCCTAGTTCTGGGTTTCCTAAACTGGAAGCTTGTATGGTTCTCTTAATTTTCACGTCTCCTTTATAGAAAGGTGTCAGCTTAGAAAACTCTCAGCTTAGGGCTGGGGATGTGGCACAATTGGTAAAAGATTTGACCAGCGTGCATGAAGCTCTGGACCTGATCCCCAGCACCACATAAACTGGGCTTGGTAGCACGTCTGTAATCCCACTACTTCGGAGGTGGGTGGCAGGAAGATCAGAAGTTCACGAGCATTCTTGGCTACAGAAGGCCTGTCTTTAAAAAAGAGAAGCATCTCTCCCTTGAGAAGATGTACCACTCTTGGGTGTGTCTTACTTTAGGAAACCCTTCTCTGAAAAGTCTGCCACCTATGCTGTCAGCTGTGTTTTTCTTCTGAGTACCTTTCTCTTAACACTCATGCTTAAACCCATATTAAAATATCTTTATTAAACCCCCACTCTGCTTCAAAGGAAAAAGAACAGAAAATTTCAACTTAGAATTTAGTGGTTTTTTTTTTTTAATTAATTTGGTTTGTGCTTTATTTTGATTTAGCACAAAACACATTCTTTAGAAATAATTTATGTGTTGTTCCTGCTTTGTAGCCGATTACACCTCAACAAAAAGGCAACAGACAAGCAGCCTTATAGCAAGCTCCCCGGCGTGTCTCTTCTGAAGCCACTGAAAGGGGTGGACCCTAACCTCATCAACAACTTGGAAACATTCTTTGAACTGGATTATCCCAAAGTAAGTACTGTGTTGTGCTTACGGGGGATGGGCTAGACTATGGGTTTATTTTCTCCCTCATTGTAAACATTATGAATTTGAACACCGTTTAAGATGAAAGCATGAATGTTGGCCTCTAAATTTAAGTCTTCTTAGTAATGGTCACAGGATAACAATGGCATAGGGAGGGCTATAAATTCCTTTTAACCACTTTTGAGTCCATTTGAAGTACAAATCCCTGAATTAACCCCCTGGAACTTAAATAGTGTCCAGTGCTGGGACTTTGAATATAAAAATCCATGAATTGTATGTGAAGACAGGAAGAGGAGGCAGCAGGTAAGAAGCCACAAGTGGTTCCCAGTGGAATGCAAGACCGCTAGAACCAAACCCTGGATCCCCTCGAGAGACTGGCTTTACCCTAAGAATAGGTCACAAATTAGTGGCAAGGCATTTCATCTTACCCAATGTTTAGTCTTTGTTGTCCTGATTCTTAACAACCAATTGTATTGCCCACACCACTTCTCTCTCCAGTCTCTGTAAACTCAGTGTACACCCTTTGTTGGAGAACTTCCCAATTTCCTTAACATAGAAGTATTCTTTTTATAGCTTCCCTTTAGTATTTCACTCCTAGTTTCTCAGGAGAGCTGAATATCCCTTGGCTTTTGCAGTTAGCTTTGCTGCAGCTTCTATAAATTGTCAATATGAGACTCTGCTTATGAAAGGGTATTTGGGGTGATGATGGCCTCCCAGAAGAATGTGCCTTTACGTTTCTACCTGCTTGATTTTCAGGATAGTCTGCTTTTCCCTTTGTGGTCCCTATTCATTTGCATCAAGTTGTCCCATTGTCTCATTTTTTTGTTAGGTATCTTTGCTACTCTCAGACTCTTGTTAGGACAGGGTTGTAGCCTAGTTAGTTAAGAAGAAAGGTGGGCATACAAGGTCCTTCTCAAGGACACTGCTTTCACATTCTTCTTTCTTTCCTTTTAACCCTTATTCTCAGTAGCACGAGTGAAAGGAATACAGAAGCCACCGCTTGGTGGCTTCAGGCAGTTCTTATTAAGCAATGTGGGCATGACTGTTGTTGAGTTATTTTTTATATTGTTGCTTTGTGAGTTTTGGAGCTTAAGTATTAGAAGCTTTTTTAATGTGAAGATATTCTGGTTTGTGTGTTTATACTTAATTTTGGAGATTTGAATTGTATGTTCTGTATTTTCTATTCAATTAAATATGACTAAAAAAGAACATAATACATGCTTGATTTTTTTTTTAACTAAAAATGCAAAGTGTGGCCTTCTATAATTCAGGAAAAAAAATTATATAGATAAAATTAAAGTAAGCTTTGCAATAAGAAAATTGGAAGTTTTTCAAGCCCATTGTCTATAAGTGAATACACATACGGATATAGTTTCTGCTCTTTTTTAGTCCAGTTTAATTTTTAATCATAAAATAGAAAGCCAGAGATGTATGTACAGTACCTAAGGGAAAGCAATCTAAGGAAAACTTTTGACTTCACAACATTTTACTTTAAAAACTACAGATGCCTTAGAAAGCATCTCCAAGCTGTGAACATCCCTCTATATAAACGGAACTAATATTTTCAACTTTTCTCACTCCTCAGTTCTGTGTCTGTCATGTCTGACTTTTCTTCCTTCGCTTCCTCCCAGGCCTGCCTCTCTATAATTGCCGCAGTCTGTGCTTTTATGGCCCGTATTTCATTATTTTTCACCTTTGCCAGTAGTGCTTTCTCAAAGACAGCACACCTGTGACTGCCAGAGACAAGTCTAGTTCCCATCCTTCTCCTTTCCCTCCCCTCATTAGAACCCTCCATACACTCCTGCCTGGAGAGAGGCAACAAACATGTGAAGGAACAGGATCAAAGTTTCAAACTCAGTAGATGAGAGTTGACCAGAACTCTGCTGCAGTGTTAAATGCTGGGGAGGGAAGAAATATGAAAAATGATGAAAACTCACATTTTTAAAGCAAATATCACATTCTGTTTCATGATATTATGGCGAATGGCTTATGAGTTTTAATAAACCTGTAAAATTTCCAACAACAATAACCAAAAAGCCCCATAATGGTAAATATAGCACAAATGACTGAAGTGAATTCCTGCAAGTCGGAGTATGAGCAGTTGAGCTGTCTGTGTCACCCCTGAGCCACTTAGACACAAAACTAACCTTCATATGACTACCAGGCCCAGTATACTTTAGTATTTGCTTTTGGTTGGATGTGATGTCATTTTACAAAAGTATGGAAATCTCTTTATTCTTGACACAACATTTCCTCTATTAATTTAGAATATCATAGACCAGTTTTGGGGGGAAAATCAAAACATATACATGGGTTAAAGTTTTAAATTTTTATTTGGTTTTGAATATGTGCAAGAATATTCTGAATTTCTAGGTTTCAATTTGGGTAAGTCTGTGCTAGTATTCCTGGAAGATTTCTGTGCTTTTTAAGACCTTGTAAGTCCACCTTTACATGGTTATTCTTTGGGGAGAATGACAGTTTTTTTTCTAGAAAGTTGAATACTTACTGGCATCGCCATAAAAGGAATTTGGGGAGATCTTGCAGGCTTATTTGCTTATTTATTCATTTTAGTTTTTTGATAATAATACTAAGACTCAGACTTATTTATTATTTTTATTTTTTTTTAATTTTTATTTTTTTTTTATCTTTTTGAGACAGGGTCTCCCTATAGTCCCAACTGTCCTGGAACTCACTATGTAGACCAGGCTAGCCTTGAACTTACAGAGATCCGCCTGCCTCTGCCTCCCCAGTGCTGGGATTTAAGGCGTGTGCCACCATGCCCAGCTATTTATTATTTTTAAAGACAGGTTCTTGTTATACCTCAGGCTGGCCTCAAGTCAGTATTCTCCTGAGTCATGGGAGCTTGAATAGTTTTTATTTATTTATTTTTATTTTTGGTGTTTTTGAGACAGGTTTTCCCTGTAGCTGTAGCTGGCCTGGATTTGCTAGGGAGACCTGGCTGGCCTCGACTCACAAAGATCCACCTGCCTTTGCCTCCCAAGTGCTGGGATTAAAGAGGTGTATCACCACACCCGGCTTGAATACTTTTTAAATTAATTGTCAGTTAATAGCAGAATGAGGATGTGGTAATTTTGATTTGGATCCATCATTCTAGTTGTATAGCTATTCTTATGAGAATGTACATTTTTCCTAACCAGTAATCTTTAAAGAATTAAAGACTCTAATAGGGCCAGTTGAAGAATCAAAGGTCAGGTGTGGTAGTCCATTCCTGTAATTCCAGTGCTCAGGAGACTAAGGCAGGGGGATTGAAGCAAATTCAAGGCCAGCCTGGACTACTTAGAGGCAGAGGCAGGCAGATCTCTGAGATCGAGGGCAGCTGGGACTATGGGGCAACAAGGAAGGGGGGAAGGAGGGAGGGAAGGAAAGGAAGGAAGGAAGGAAGGAAGGAAGGGAGGGAGGGAGGAAGGGCAAATATTGTTAATATAGTAAAACAATGTCTTCAAGAGGACTAATTTATCAAAGGAAAGAAAGAGGGGAAGGAAGGAAGATCAAGCTCAAATACTGTTAATATAACAAAACAAAATTGAAAACTTAAATAAATCACCTTGTTTCTTGAGTGCAGATAACAAATATCCAATATTGCCTTTCAAAACTTTGAGTTCAGAGATGTTGTCTTACAAAACATCTCCTTTCTGTGATCTTTCTTTGACTCAGAAGTTACACTGGATAAATGAATTAACAAATATACTCATCACCTGCTCTGGGTCAACTGTTCTAGGCATTAGGGATCTTGATTCATTCTGTCATAGAATTTATATTCTGATTTTTTTGTACAACATCTATGTAAAGTAGATATTTATAAATAGTAGATTAAGACCAGGCATGGTAGTGCATGCCTCTAATCCCAGCATTTGGGAGGCAGAGGTAGTGCTTGCCTGGCATGCGTGGAGCCCTGGGCTCTGTCCCTAGCACAACATAAATTAGGTTGGAGGTCAGGCATGGACTCATAGACCTTGGGAGGTGGAGGCAGGAAAATCAGAAGTGCAAGGCCGTCTTTGGTTATAAAGGTAGTTTGAGGCCAGCATGGGCTTTCTGAGACCTTATCTCGAAAAGACAAATTAAAAAAAAAAAATTTCTACTTGATATGCAATATAAATTCATGCATTAAAACATATTTCAGGGCTTATTTCTACATATTTCTACTTATTTCTACATATTTCTACATATTTCTACTTGATATGCAATATAAATTCATGCATTAAAACATATTTCAGTGCCTAGGATGCACAAGGCCCTCGTTTCAACCCTAGAGCCACCCCTCCAAATTCTGTTTAAAATGATATATTGTCCTCTTTACAATAGAAGTTTATATTCCTAATGTCTTCAGGACTGAGTCATTGAGATTTTCTTCCAACACTTACACATTTAAATCTGCTATTTATGCATCTAAATGTATTCATAAATGCAAACGGTAACACTCATTGTTACTGCAGTTTCAGATATTAAATTCTTAAATATCAAAGGGCTAAATATTCTGAGTCTTCAGCCTTTTAGGTATTTCACAGTTTGAAATAAAAAGGGAAAATGAGTCTGCTTTGCTATTCGTGTGGTAGTCTTATACAGGTTTGATGAGGGCTCTCCTTTCCCCAGCTTGGGGTTTATAGCTCAATTCAGTTATGCTCATTTACTATAGAACTTCTTGCTTCTTCTGTCTCAAGGATTTGTAAAGTAAATGTCTTCTTAAAATATTTTTAAGTATGTTTCTTGAGGCTGGAGAGATTGCTCAGTGGTTAAGAACACTGGTTATTCTTGCAGAAGACCCGGGTTCGAATCCCAGCACCCACATGGCAGCTAACAACTGCCCGTAACGCCAGTCCCAAGAGATCTGACAGCCTCTGACCTCCACAGGCATTGCACGACATGGGTGCACTTACCTACATGCAGGCAATACACGCATACAAATAAAAATTTTAAAAATACATAAATTTTTTTTAAAGTTTAAAAAAATATTTTAAGTATGTTTCTAATATACATTGTGCTTTTAAAAATGTATATATGCCTAATCTTGTAGACTGTAAAATACCCAAGAAGTTATTTTGTGTGTGGTGTGTATGTGTTAGCCAAGAACACCTTTAACCACATTTTGTGTTTTGCCTTGTGTATCGGAGAGATTTGATTATTTTAGTATAGAGATTTTTTTTTTTTATGTGTATGCGTGTATTGCCTACATGTAGGTAAGTATACCCATGTCATGCAATGCCAACAGAGGACAGAAGAGGTGGTCGGATCCCCTGGAACTGGAGTTACGGACAGTTGTTAGCTGCCATGTGGGTGCTGGGATTTGAACCCGGGTCTTCTGCAAGAACAACCAGTGTTCTTAACTTCTCAGCCATCTCTCCAGCCCCAGTATAGAGATTCTTAACAGATAAAATGTTCAATTGCACTAGAAAGGTACAGAGGTGATTTCTATAGTTTAGAAAAGAAGTTTCTTTTTACTAAGTGGGGCTTTGGCACACACCTTTAATCCTAGCACTCAAGGAAGCAGAGGCAGGAGGATCTCTGTGAGATCGAGGCCAGCCTGGTCTACCTATGGAGTTCCAGGCCAACTGTGGCTACAGCAAAACCCTGTCTCAAAAAAACAAAAATAAAATTCCTCACTACAATGTGATACTTCAAAAACACTTAAAAATGTTTCCTCCGTTTGGTAGAATTCTCAATCTCAGAAGCATTTTTTTTTAAGCCAAATGTTTAAGTGTCTGCACTTTTTTGGGATAATGTGAATTGACCTTCTTTGCATGCTAGCTGATTAAAGGCTATTTTTTAAATTTTGGAATTAAGTTTAAGAGGTATCATATTAAGATTGGAAACTTAGAGATGAGCTCTATACCCCTCAACACTGTGTACTTCTCAAAGGTTTGTGATATTGACACAGTTACCAGTTTATCTTTTTTCTTTCCATTGTGTGTATTTTTTTCTACTATACTTTACAAAGTTTTATCTTGCTGGGGGAAGAAGCTACAATAAGCTTTTAAATTGATATTTTGTGGAATTGTGTTGCTTAGACACTTTTCTTCCACTATATTCATTCATATCTGTGAAATAGCATGAGTTATAGAAGCCAAAGAAACTGTTTGAAAGTCAAGGAGTTCTTTAGGGTATACCTGGCTGAGCAGCTTGTGTTGTAGGAAAGCTAGCTGTTAGTTCTGCCCTTTACAGTCACCTCACCTTTCTAATCTTTATTATTAAGGCCACTGCCTTTTGGCTAAGCATTTGAGAGTCAGGACGGCCACTACTGTATATGACTTAGACTCAGCCTTTGGGAAATCTCAAGGATGTGGTAAGAATGGGGCCCTTTGCCATCTCAGATTTTTATCTGGTCTGTGGAGGCCAAACAACTGTAGAGTTGGTTTTGAACCTTCTTGTGTGGCAGGGTTTTGCTCTTCTTTGGTTTTATTGGTCAGTCATCATTGAAGGTAGATGTTGGATGGAATTTGTAGTAATAGAGAACATGAGGGAAATACACACTGTTTTCATCATCCACATAATTATTGAGAAAGCTTTTTTTTTTTGCATTTGGAAAAAAGTAATCTTACCTATTAGCTAAACCTTCCTTGACTTTAGTCCTGGTTCATTTGTATTCAGCCACAGGCTTCTTCACTGCCAGTTTTGGGTGAGATAAAATGCATGCTGAACAAATGTTTCTACTGTTTGCTTGTAGATCCTTATCAACAGAAGTAAACAGAACAGGCCTGTCCATGGCCTGAATCAGTCCCTGTGTATTAAGCACTTAAAATGTTGTATCCTTAGCCCTTTATATTTTTAGAACTTAACAGTTTTGTTATTTTTTTTTTCATGGACATAATTAATTTCCCTTCTGTGCTTAAAAATGCTCCACCAGTTTTAGAAAGATTTGGAAGGAAATTTGTCATTAAGTCAGCATGAATCTATCACCACTTCTGAAAAAAAAAGTTACTACTTAGAATACGTATCCCACAACATGCTAGAGTAGCATCTTTGACATGAAAGCACTTTCAGTATTCAGTAGTTCAAATGGTACCTTAGCATTTTAGCTTAAGACTATATAAACCTGACTGTGTCAGAATCGCCCCAGAAGTCCTGATTCAGAAGTCTAATAGGGCCCAATCCTCTTTTTTTTTTTTTTTTTAAAGTAAGTGGAGGTTTTATTATTTTTGACTCTAAGAATTTGTGTCTAAAATGGATAGATACATTGGGGCTCGAGAGAGATGGCTCACAGATTGAAAACTCCTACTTCTCTTCCAAGGGCCCAATCCTCTTTTTTTTTTTTTTTTTTAAAGTAAGTGTCCCAGGGTAATTTTGACATAGCCATTCAAGTGTTAAAAAATGACTTTGTGACTAAACATAGCACCAAGCAAAATGAAATCCTGGATGTTTTCATACTTAGGAGGAAGCCAGGGAAGCATGCTTTTCGTGGTAATAAATATTCAGTCAAATTCTGGTTTATGTAAGAAAAACTAAACAGCAAAAAATATCACATTTTGCCCTTCAAGTTTGAGATTTGATTTGCGATTTATTCTACCTTCGTGAAGTAATGCTGAGTCTGGGACAGAGCATCTAGAGAGTAGAATGTGCCTGCCTGCGCTTCTGCTCGGTGCTATAGTTTGCTCTCCTGGGAACTTTTGAAGCATTAAGTGTATGTTCAATGATGAAGGTCGTGGACAAGCTTGAGAGCTGAGGTATCGATGAGGCCATACCTGTCTGGGAACACATCAGCAGAAAGGCCCCTGACCTGGAGAAGCTCTCCCCACCTTAGAAACCTTTGTCATAAGTCATAAATGTCTGCATGCCTGAATTTAGCCCTTAACTTTCAAACTTTATGTATAGATTGTTTTTCTTACAGGTTTTATCTTATCTGTAAATGCTAATATGTCCTCATTTTTTAAGAGGTTAATTGACATTAAACATCTTCTTTTGACTAGTATGAAGTACTCCTTTGTGTACAGGATCATGATGATCCAGCCATTGATGTGTGTAAGAAGCTGCTTGGAAAATACCCCAATGTTGATGCTAGATTATTTATAGGTAAGTACCAAAGTCTACTTTAACCATTTTGCTTTGGTAGTATTAAGATTCAGTGATCTTTTCTGCATTAAACTGTAGGTTAGGATAGTAGGCACCACTAAAGTTGAGTAACACGCTTGCTGTAAGCATCTTTTCTGGAGTGGTGAAAGATGTTTCTCTTCATTCAAGGAAAGTTATAAAAACAAAAGTTTATCAAATGACACACCAGAAAATTACATTTGATTCAATAATCAGGTGTAAGTGTTCTCTTTGTTTCTTTGATATTTTTAATGTATAGTTTTTCTATATATCATTAACTGTAATTGAGAGTAAGCAATAGAATTCACTTTTACTATAGTGTTAAAAGTAAAAAAAGTTGTGCTGTAAAGTATTCCTTGAGAAATGTTTATAATTCTATGAGAATGTAAATAGTTTCACAGTAATTGTTTTCCAGTTAGAATATTCTAACTTAATTGCAGCGCAGTCTCTTTAATTTCTTGTTCATTAATTTTTAACTAACTTCATAAAAGAATAAGAATAAAAAAAATATGATTTATTTAAAAAAAAAAGTACTTTTTCAGAAGCCTACAAAATTAGTCTAAAGATTCGTATTTACTATAATTTTTTTAAAGGTCTGATGTGAACTTTGTTTACCCTAATGGTTTCTCTGTACTGTTGATTTACAACAGTAGATTTAAAATGAGTTCTGTAACTTTTTAAATTGTTCCCTAACACTTTAAATATCACTGAATAAAATTTGTATTTATGATATTGCCCAGGATGATGTTTTGAAATATGTATGTATTATGGAATGGCTAACTGAACTAATTAAGACGTGTATTATTTCACTATGTAACTGATTGGTGGTGAGAACTCTCCTCAGCGACTTTCAGATATTCCTTACATGACTATTACAGCATCCTTACTGTGTTGTACAGTTGTCATTAAATGTCAGTGCACACTATTAATAGAAGAATTTAATTAGAAAACAGAAACCAAATTTTCAAAGATAAATTCCAAATTCTTTGAGAATGGTATCATTTTTGTAGATACGAATAATAGGAAATATTTTTAAAATAGAAATGTTTAAATTATGAAACGTGAAAGTACTATTACTTTTCTCTCCATCATGTATCTTTACAGTATTTTCAGTGCAACATAAATCTTTTACTGTTGTACCTTTATATTTTTAGGTGGAAAAAAGGTTGGCATTAATCCTAAAATTAATAACTTGATGCCAGGTTATGAAGTTGCAAAATATGATCTCATATGGATTTGCGATAGTGGAATAAGAGGTGAGGTATTTTTCTATTTTATAAAACTATTCATTTAATGATAAAATGCCATAAGTTTATCAGTCTTTGGTTTGCCTAATAAAGTAATTTTTACTTTATCATTATTTCATGGTAATTGAATAATGAGACAGAGTCTCATTGTATAGCCTGGCGGCACTTGAACTCACTATATAGACCTGCCTGACCTTGAACTTATGGCCACCTTCCTTCTGCCTCCTGAGTACTAGGATTATAGATGTGAGCCACCATGCCTTTTATACACCCAACTTAAAACCTACAGTTTTAAGCATTTCTATTAGGCTTTGTAATGTTTTGTTATATTTCACTTATGTTAAGTCTCTCAATCTTAGTCCCCCTGACATAGTGGACCTGATGAGCTTTTGTTATCCAGACTGTCCTGGGGAAAATAAACATGCCTGACCTCTCCCCACTGGCTAGGACCCCTCCCCCTTCTCAGTTGGAACAACCAGAATCATCTCCAGTTATTTCTATGTGTTTCCTTCCTATGGGGAAGAATTACACCTGGTTGAGAACCGCTAACTAAAATATGAGGGATTGTTTGCTTTTTTGCTTTCCTTGGGGTGCTGGCGATTGAACACAGGGCCTCATTCACGTATGATCAGCAGTACTCTACCACTAAGCTACAGTCAGCAGCTTTCCCTGCCCGTTTTATTCCCCACTCTGGCCTTGAATGCATTCTGTACACTGAGCAGGATTTGAACTCCTGTCCCAGCCTCCTGAGTAGCTGGAACTGCATCTCTTCATCAAGACACTGCTAGCATATAAAGATTTAAGGCACAAACACAGCTCTTTGTTTTATACCATAGACTTAGTTCTTAGCAAGTAGAAGGTGATAAAAGTAGAGTCCTGTAAAATGAATTGGTATATGCCAAGATAAGGCATTGGTTTAAAATTTTTCACTTCTTCAAATATAAATTTGAAAGTTAAGGTGCGGTTATTGTGAGGAATGCTAGAAATTATGGCTTATGTCCCAAGATGCTGTTCATTCTTTACATTTGCTGTCATTATATTCTGTCGTCCACTTGCTATGCCTTTCAATGTAGGAGTCTCAGTTGGATAGCATCCATTCCAATCCCATCACTATTGTTAGTGCATTACAAAAGCAGACTTGCTCCCTGGGATTGGAGAGTAGAGGTGAGAGCGGAGGTCCTTTGACCCCTGCTCTTGACCTTTTCCATAGGATGCATTGTCCTTATCCCAATTTGGAAGTTCTGAACACACAGGATGGGGCCTCTAGGTAAGAGCAGCTGTTTGCATCAGGGAGAAAGTTCTCAGGTCCTGCTGATGTGAATAGCTATGCATAGGAAACTGCTGGTGGCCCTGCCCCAGCTGCACAGTGCATATGTACTGTCTCTGTGGTCCTCACTTTCAGTTTCAGAAATTGGTTCTAGACTATTAACTTGCATGAAAAAAGTAATAGTGTTCTTTCAAAGATTTAAACCCTAAAAACGGCCTCTGGCACATATAAGGCCTATCTCTCCAGGGCTAAAAATGTATAGTATAAATTAGCTTATTGTAAAGGAACTTTTTGAAATTTTGTGTTCTCAGAGTAAGTAATTGTTCTTATTAAATCCTAAAAGATAATTTTTTCCCCTCTCTCCCCACTTTGTTTATTTTTGATTTTAGTAATTCCAGACACACTAACTGACATGGTCAATCAAATGACAGAAAAAGTAGGCTTGGTTCATGGGCTACCTTATGTAGCAGACAGACAAGGCTTTGCTGCCACGTTAGAACAGGTAAGTGCAGCGCTTATAAATAGTGTTACCAGATCCCTGGTCTCCTAGAAGCTCGAGGCTGTTCTGAGAATTGAGATTGGCTACCTGAAGTTAACTGTATTGCCCATTTGAGAACCTGTTGTGAATTGAATCCTCTTGCTGAGAGCACCTGTCTTCCTTAGGGAGGAAGTTCTCAGGTCCCTGGGGTCACTTACTGCTGAGCTGCCTGTACCTGACAATGGCTGTGCATAGGAAACTGCTGGTGGCCCTGCCCCAGCTAGATAGTGCATTCTGTCCATCCAGCCTTCACTTCTGGCTCTAGAAGCTCGTTCTAGACAAATATTTGTGAAATATTTCAAATGCACAAAAAAATTATTCATGTTAAGTCCTTATTTTAAAAATCCCTTTGATTTCCTTTCAAAACAAATTTCAGAAATCTTGAGAAATATTGTTTACTATTATTTTTATTAGTTTTTTAAGAATTAACATATGAAGTACAGGTTTCTTTAAGGCATTTTTACACTATTTTAGTCTTTCTCTGCCCCCCCTTCTTTTTTTCTTTTTTTCTCTTCAACTTTTTTGTTTCTGTTTTGCAGTGCTGGGGATCAAACTCGAAGTATACACATGCTTAGCAGGTTTCCCACTACTGGGCTACATCTCCAGCCCTTTATCTTCAAAATTATAATAGAGATACTAACTTGTATAGGGAACAATGAATTTTGGAAGAGTATAAGAACACCACCACCACCCCCCCAAAAAAAACACAGCCCTAATAATTAGGAAGATTAAGTTTGGTTTTGTTTTAGTGTTTTGGCAATTGGGATTCTTTTTTGTTTTTATGTTTCTCCTATGCACCTTTAAAAACCATAGTTGAGATTATATGTAAAGCAATTTGTGTATTTTTGTTCTGTCATGAGCTTTTCCTTCATAAAGTACATTTAATTGGGTGAATTATAATCTGTAATGCATATATTTTGTATATTCCTCTACTGTTAAACAGAAATGAAAATGTACCTTTATGTTATAAGGGAAACATAAATGGCTTCCAGTTATATGTGTATCAGCTTCTTCTTAAGCCTATCTTACACTCTTTTGATTAGTCCTATAATTGCCACAGATCTGTAGGGGTAAAGGTCATTATTGCTAGAGCTTGAATTTGACCTTTGGCTGTTTGAATCATGCTTGGTCCATCAGTCTCTCTGTCTCTGTCCCCCAACCCCCTGCCTGTCCCTCCCTCCTGTATGTTCATGGGGTAGGATGAAAGTCAGAGGTTGACATCAGCATCAGCTAACCTGGAACTCACTATGTAGACCAGGCTGCCCTGGATTTCATAGAAATCATCTGCCTCTGCCTCCCCTGTGCCGGGATTAAAAAATACCATACTTGGCATGATCTCTTTCTTATACTGCCTTTGAAGGTATTTATCCTAGTATAAATACTTACATACTATATGGTGCTTTTATTTTAGAAATACCCAAATCGATATTTATGTTTGTGAAAGACAGTTCCCAGAATGCAGTCACTCTGCCTCCACTTAGAATAATTGGAAATCCAGCCAAAGGAATCTTCTTAGACTGTAAAGAAATTTTCAACCCAGTGTCTGTTCCTGTGTGGTTCTAAGACTTCACATAACTGTTTAAAGGTTTAGATGGATGCTTCTGGCCTTGGAAGTTATGTTTGACTTCAGTCACATAGCATCATTGCTTCAGTGGAGTCTGAATTAAGGGTAGATAGCAAGAATCATAGTCTTAGCTGCCTCTTAAAATTCTCTTGTCCTGCACCTTATGAATAACTGCCATTTAGAAAGTCTTTTGAAAGCCATGGCAGTGCACACCTTTAATCCTAGCACAAGGGAAGCAGAGGCAAGCAGATCTCTGTTAGATCCAGGCCAGCCTGATCTACATAGCAAGTTCCAGGCCAGTTGGGGCTTCAGGGAGACCTTGTCTCAAAAAACTGAAAAAGAGAAAAAAGAAAAAAAGAAAGGGGGGGGGAGTCCATTGATCTGTATTTCAGGCTATTTTTTTTAAGGCAGCTTATCCAAGATAAAACAATAAAAGGGCTTCATGTCTAATAAGCAGGGTGATGACAGTTATTACCATTGCTGACTTATCAGCTTAAATATCTCATGACTCCAAGTAGATAGAGACAAAGAACAGTAAGAGACAGGAGGTAGAGTTTTAGTATCATCTTATATTCTAAGAGTACATTGAAAAAGCAGAAATGGGAAAAGAATTTCATTGAGTCTGGGGACAGAAAGCAGCTAGCAGTAAAGGGTTGCAAGAAAAGTAGTTAAGAAATAGAACTGGGGGCTGAAGAAATTGGTTCCAGAGGACCAGAGTCTGGTTCCCAGCACCCACTTCAGGCAACTCAGCAGTTGCCTGTAATAACTCCAGCTCCAGGACAGTCCAATACCTCTGACCTCCTTGAGCACCTGCACTCTCATGCACATACCCCCCCACACAGACACATAATAAAAATTATAAAAATATAAAAGGCTCTAAAAAGAAATAGAATTGCCCTGAAGGTTGATTTACCAATAGGTGGTCTGTATGTGTATACGCTTGCTTATACATACATAATACATATATATGTGTGTACATACTACAAACATCCTAAAATCAAGGAGACATTATTTGTTAATATTTTATATGCCAATTAATATTTCCCTTTTATTTTGTATCCAAATTCAGTTTTATTTGGATGAATCTGAACCTTACAGTTTTAGAGAAGATGGTATTTATCTGACAGCAGAATATGCTTTTCCATCTAGAAGTAAATATTTCTTTGTAATGATGATTGCAATAGAAGTCAAACAAGTAAATCACATTGCCTGGGACATAGTCATGTGATTGTGCTTTTTATTCAGGTAGCTTATTTAAGAATATTAGGATATTCAATCATCTAACAAAAATCATTAGAAAAAGTTGATAAACACTATACTTTTAACATAAAATTCTCACTGTCTATGTTTGTGGGTTTTTTGGCAGGTGTATTTTGGAACTTCACATCCAAGATCTTATATCTCTGCCAATGTAACTGGCTTCAAGTGTGTGACAGGAATGTCCTGTTTGATGAGGAAGGACGTGTTAGATCAAGCAGGGGGGCTTATAGCTTTTGCTCAGTACATTGCTGAAGATTACTTTATGGCCAAAGCAATAGCTGACCGGTAAGAAGACTAAATTATTTTTAGTACCTAACTTTTGTTGACTTATTCTTTCTGTCTAAACATGATTTCAGGCTCTTTGTTTTATTTTATTATTTTTGCTAATAAATGTAAAATTTAATAATTTTGGCAAAGCGATTCCTATTGAATATTCATAGGAATATATAATGAGGCAGTCCACTCTTCCATGCTCTTCAGTACTGTGGTTTGTAGTGGCTCAAGGGAAGCCTCTGGGAACACATTTCCATTAGTGCAGATAGACATTTCTCTGTATTTTAGGAGAATTAAAGCTCTTAGTGTAGCCATCAGCCAGTAGGTGAATCTTTTTTCAGTATCACTCAGACTTTGAACTTTTTAAACAAATTACTTGATGCTTGTGCTTTGCTAATATAATAAGCCACCTCGCGGTTCCTATGATTTGCTTTAACATTCCCCTATCACAAAACATAAAAGATGTATTTGGCTTTAAAGGAGATCACTGTCTTGTATGATCTCTTATTAAAAATGAAGTTTTTACCTGGGTGTAGTGGGACACGCCTTTAATCCCAGCAGAGGTAGGAGGACCTCTGTGAGAACAAGGCTGGCCTGGCCTACATAGTGAGTTCCAGGCCAGCCTGGGCTGCTGCATATTTAGGTTTCTTCCATAATAGTGTTGATGAGGTTCAAGATCATCTAATGTCTCCTGGGAGATACACTGCCACTTTTTGTTTACCTTTCTTGTTGAAAGCACATACACACACACGCACACGCACACACACGTACCCTTTCTTAGGGGAAGAAGTCTCAGTGATCAGAGAGAAAACCATTAAATGCAGAACTCTGTCCAAAATGACTGCATTTTAAGTTTCCAGCTTGTATGTGGTACTCTCTTGGGCTGATGTAATTGCCTTGAATACCAGCAGCTGCTGATAAATGAATGCATAACCAGTTAGGCTTGAATGTGTTCATCAACATAAATCATGTTATAATTACCTTCATTTTCAGAGGTTGGAGGTTTGCAATGTCTACTCAAGTTGCCATGCAAAACTCTGGTTCCTACTCAATTTCTCAGTTTCAATCCAGAATGATCAGGTAAATCAATAAACTATCTTCTTTTGCTACATTAAAAAGGAGTGTGTATATGTGATTTGTTACATGATTAAGTATATATATATATAAAGGTTAGAGATTTGTAATTTTTGTTATTTTTAAAATACTGATCTCTTTTTTAACTTTCTAAACTTTGATTAAATTTTGTAATCCACATTTGTCAAACTACAGGTCATGCAAATGAATTTATATCCTTTTGATACACTAAAAATAGAAGCAAGACATAAAACAAATCTTTTAAAAGGGGGCTGAAGATGTAACTAAGTTGGTAGAGTGTTTCTAACATGCACAAGCCCTGTGTTCCACCCCCAGCATTGCATAACCTGGGTGAGATGGTGCACATCTGTAAACCCAGCACTCAGGAGTTGGAGGCAGGAAGATTAGGAATTCAAAGTCATCCTCAGCTATATGGGGAGTTCAAGGCCAATCTGGCAACATAAAACACCCCTATCTTAAAAAATTACTAACTTTTTAAGGAGGAAAACCTGTTTATGACGAGGTTAAAAGTTGATCATTTGGGGAGGTAGGGTGTGGGATTGATTAGTCTTACAACTGACTGTTATAAGAAAATTCTTTTGTGTGTGTGTTGTTTTAAGGTGGACCAAATTGAGAATTAACATGCTTCCTGCTACAATAATTTGTGAGCCAATTTCAGAATGCTTTGTTGCCAGTTTAATTATTGGCTGGGCAGCCCACCATGTGTTCAGATGGGATATCATGGTATTCTTCATGTGTCACTGCCTGGCCTGGTTTATATTTGACTACATTCAACTCAGGGGTGTCCAGGTACGTAGATTCACATGGGAGGTTGGCAGTTATTGATCTTTCTGCCCTCTCTTCCAAAAAGGCCCCTGAGCTGTGGGTGGGTGAGGTTCAATATGGGAGTCCCATCCAAGGACACACACTCTGCAGTCTCTTATTCTTCAGAACTTGAGCAGTTGTGACCTTGTGTGTGTATCTCACTCTGTTGTATAAGGAAGCTTTAATGGTGAGATTTGAGGGAATTTTTGTGTATTTCAACACAATATCTTCATCATCTTTATACCCCCTTCCCCACTGGCACCCTGCCATAGCCTCCTCATTGGATTTCATGCATTCTGTCAAGGTCTGTTAAGTTAGTGTCCCCAGATATCCCTCAGTGCAAGTTCATCCACTCGGGTGTAGTGAGCCTATCTAGAGTCACTCCCTTAAAGAAGAGCTATTCTTCCTCACCCAACAATAATCAGCTGCCAAATAGTTCTTTCAGCAAGATTAGGGCCTGATGCCCGTTTCCACAGTTCTATGCTGGGTTTTTGTCTGCTTGAGTATGCATGGGTCTTGTGCATGCTGTCTGTCACCATTGCTAAAAGTTCGTACGAGCAAGGTCCCAGGAGCCTATAAGACTTATTTCCATATGGTCATTCACCTCTTCTATTTTCCTAACCCCCCCCCTCTCTGTGTATATGTGTATGCACATGCATGCAGAAGTCAATCCTCTCCTTCTATCATGTGGGTTGGGAAATTGAGCTCAGGTCGTCAGGCTTGGCATTAAGTGCCTTTAGCTGCTGAACCATCTCACCAGTCTGAGAATCTTATTCTTCAACTGTATGTTTAGTCTGGCAGGCAGTAAATTCATTTTTTTTTTTCAGGGTGGCACACTGTGTTTTTCAAAACTTGATTATGCAGTGGCTTGGTTCATCCGCGAGTCCATGACAATATACATTTTTTTGTCGGCATTATGGGACCCTACTATAAGCTGGAGAACTGGTCGCTACAGATTGCGCTGTGGAGGAACAGCAGAAGAAATCCTAGATGTGTAACTACAGCTTTGTGACTGTATATAAAGGAAAGGAAAGACAAGAAGTATTATAAATTATGTTTCTATAAATGCTTTTAAGGACCTACCTTCAATAGTTTTATCACATGTATGTTTTGGTATCTGTTCTTTAATTTATTTTGCATGGCACTCACATCTGTGAAAAGGAGAAAATAACAAAAACAAAACACATCTGTAGTCTTGGCCAAATAGCATACTTTATTTTGTGGAAGTCGAGAATCAAGAGCATTGGTTCTAGGAACCCTGGGTTTGTTTTTTGTTGTCATTTATTTTTTTAAACAAATAAATATATACACATATATATGAATGCTCTGCAACAAACACTATGACTGTATCCTTCAGTAGGGAAAGTTTCTTACCTGTGAGAACATTCTGAGAACGTGTGTGGGAGGGTCAGCAGCTTTCTGAGAGCTGAGGAGAGAACAGGTGGTCCTGGCCTTGTGTCTGCAGTGAACGATCGCAGCGAGGTACTGAGAAACTTTTTCATGCTTTATGCCTACCTCTTGTAGTTGTTGCAGAGCAAATATAAATTGTAATAAGGTAGCTAGGCCTTTCAAAAACAAATGGAAAAACTTTAAAAAATAATAATAATAAAAGAGCTGGAGTCTAGTATTTATATGAATCCATGAGAGATATTTTTTTGGTCTCACTGCAATGAACCAAAAGTGGCTGAGTTTGGTTTTTAATTGTAACCACGAATAGAAGGCATCTTTTTGACCAACTGTTGTTGGTTCTGTCTTGAACCATTGTTAATCACTGTGCTGTAATTAGAATAGCTAAATCTTTCCTTCCTTGCTCCTTGCCCCAGCCTACCCCTGTTTTTCCTTAACATTTTTTCAGGGGGGGATTGGGATGATTTTGTTTTAGTGTGAGTGAATGTTTTGATAGTTGTAAGGAAAAATGCATTTCAGACACATTTCACACATGAGCTATTTTCTTACACAGTATGTCTTATTGTTAATAAGAATGTAATTTCATGATACAGGTATTTAATATCTTTTTTAGTAAGTAAATATTCTAGCTATCAGTAAATAAATTGCAGTAGAGAATTAAGAGAGGACAGGATGGGTTTTACTCTTAAAATCAATCAGTATCAAACTAAGTCTACTGTGTATGTTGTTGTTTTGTTTTTGTTTTTTACTACGATAGTCTAGTCTTATTTAAATTGGATTTTTGTATTCCAGTTTGTATGACAGAATAGACTAATGAGCGCCCATTGTAAATGCCCGCTGGGCTTCACTCTCCTCCATCATGCGGCTAAACTTGCTTGTCAGGTTGTGCTTAATTTGTGGTGAACTGGACTTTTGTTTAAGCAAAAATGTAAGGGACAATGCATAAGCCTTCCTCCCCCAACCCCCCTCCTTAAGTGGTATTTTGCTTTTCCCCTGGTGGCATGCTGTCCATCTCCTGCCTGCTGCTCACACTGGCAGTATGGCAGCTTCCGGTCCTAGTGTTCTATGGCTTCCATGTCAATGCATAGCATGTAGCATATTAGCAATAACTACCTATTTACAGAGAACCATTTTTTCACCTTACTGAGCCAATTCATTTATCTAATGACTATATACAAGGTTTAAATTGCAATATATCTATAAATGTGTATATTCTACATAGACACATCTAGTGGAAGTTTTTCTGGGCCAAACTGTGCTGTCCTGTCTTTTCTTCCTCCCTCCCTTCTTCTCTTTTGCCTTATGATGAATTTGTTTGAAGGGCATTTTCTTCATGAGCAAAGGCTTGGATGCATATTCCTTTCTTTATGTGAAATGGGTAATATTGTTCCCTGAGGAAAGTTGCACAGTGAAAACCAGTCTAGTTGTGACCCACTATGTGTTTGTTTTTTTTTTTTAATCGCTCTTTCATGAGTTGAATTTTGCTACCATGTTTATAATTTGTCTGTTTGTTTAGCGAAGTTTGGTTGATGCCATCCTTTACACTGCTGAAGTGAAAGCTTGCTTATTATTTAGCTTTTTTGCTGATCTCAGCATGGGCAAAGAAACACCTAAATCAGAATGGCTGGACAGACTTCATGTGTTCTGTAAATACTAAAAATTTTCTGTGTGTGTGTTTTATGTGGTCGTGGAGTGAAGCTTCACGGGTGCAAAAAGTGATTCTTTGTTTAGCAAGTTTGGAGTGAAGATAAAGTAGTAAGAAATAATATAAATGTTAAAGCATCACAGCAGAACTGTAGGAGTCAAAATTTATAATAAACTGTCTTAAAAAAAAAACAAGTGTCTAGAATATACCATGTTTTATTATTTAAAATCATTGTCTTAAGTTTTTTGTCCAAAAAAATAAAAATTTGAATACAATCAAAACATGAGCAACTTTGCACTTTAGGTTACTCTCTTTGCTTTTATTTTACAGTTTTGTTAAGTGGTCTAACTGGTCTACCTCAGATGAGCATTATTAGTATTGTCCTGTTCATTCTCAAATCTTCTTTCACTTGGGCTCTACTCCAACCTAAAGTAGGGCTTGTCTGCATTGGCTGCACTTTAGAGTGGAGAGCTGGAGAACTTTTTTAAAGGCACAAAAGCCTGGGCTGTGCCCACAGATGTTAATCATCCTGGGTGGGGCTGAGCTCTGCTTACAGGGCTGAGCGCTGCTTGCACTTCCAGAATTACTGGCCCTTAATCATGACCCAGTGTTCCCCTTTGATACCTCTCCCCTTGGCTGGACTCACAGCCTGAGCTCCACCTTTTAGGTTTTACCACTTACATGGCTAAGAATGGTAAATCCAAGAAAAGGATTGGGAGTGGAGGGTGTTGCTGCCTGAAGAACCAAGGTGCCTCCCGCTGGAGACATTCCCAGGCTTGTTCTACCACCAACCCATGAGCAGCAGTACTCTGATCTGGAGAACAAATCCAGGGAGAAAAGAACACCCCATAGATTAACCATTGGTGCCCCCCTCATATTATTTACTTGAGTGTAGAGGGGAGAGAGTGAGCCATCTCCCCGGCCCTCCTCATTTTTATCAGATAGGGTCTCTCACTGAACCTGGAACTTTCTGATTTGGCTAGACAGACTGGCTACAAAGCCCACTCAAGGATCGATCCATCCATCTCGTCCTCCCCAGTGCTAGGATTATAGATGTACACTGTCATGCCCAGTTTTTTATGTGAGTCATTGGGATTCGAAATCAGGTCTTCAAACATATATGGCAAGTACTTTTCGAACTGAGCCATCTCACCAACCCCCTTCATGTTTTATCTTCATCCTAAAAGTGAGAGTATGTCAACATACAGTCTTTGGGAGGTGACTAATCACCCTTCCATAGGGATTAGTACCTGGATAAAAGACTCCCCAGAGTTCCCCTGCCCCTTCCTCCATGTGTGGACAGAGCAAGGAGACAGTCTTTGAATCAGGATGTGTAGACACCAAATCTGCCAACACTTTGACCTTGGACTGCCCAGAACCATCAAAAACTGTAAGGCACCTAGACTGGCATTTGGTTGTAGCAGGTATGAAGGAGTAAGGCAGAATCTAAAGATCTGGCTCTGGGCTGCTCTGCTCCAGGCACCCTGGACCAGGAAACAAGGTACTCCTCTTGGTTGGTGTACTTTTGTTTTAATATTTCTACTTTAAATTATTTTTTACATGTATGAGTGTTTTGCCTTTGTGTCTGTAAGTATACCCATGTGCAGGCCCAAGGTGGAGGTCAGAAGAGGGCATCAGATCCCCTGGAACTGGAATTACAGACAGCTGTTAGCTGCTATGTGGGTGCTGGAAATCGAACCTGGGTCCTCTGCAAGAGCAGCCAGTGCTGTTACCTGTTGAATCATCTCTCTCCGGCCCTTGTTTTTAATTTTAAAGAATTATTACATTTTACATATTATATGTGCATATGCCACAGTACCTACATGGAGATCAGAAGACCACCTGTGACAGTTCTCTCCCTCTGCCACATGGATCTTAGGAATCGAACCCAGGTGGTCAGGCAAGGCAGCAAGTGCCTTTATCTGCTGAGCCATCTTGCTGGCCTTAGTTCACATACTTTTAGCCCTGAAGTTTAAGAAATGATCAACCAAAAAAAGCTGAATGAATAAGTCTTAGAATTGTATAGTCAGGCAAACTTCAAAGTTCCCTTGCCCCTTTATTTTAGGGTAAAGAAGTCAAGATGCCCACCTGAAGAGCTGTGATCACAAGGGTTGGGTGGCCATGGCCTTAATGACAGAGTTGGAAGTAGTAAGTAGCCTCTATCGGGATCCACTTTCTCCTTAAACAGGTTCAATGCCCAAGTTTTAAATACCAACACATACCACACGTGTGCATGTACCTCACACGCCTCTAACATACATATATTTGTGTACATACAATTAACATTTTAAATAAAACTAACCAGAAGTGGCAGTACATACCTTTAATACCAGCACTTTGGAGGCAGGGGCAAACAGATCCCTGTGAGTCTGAGGCCAACCTGGTCTACATAGTGAGTTCCAGACCAGCTAGTACTATATAATGAGGCTTTGTCTCTAAATAATAAAAATGTTTAAGAATCCTTAGGTGGTTATGTATGTTCATTTTCCGCAGGAGGAGGGAGAAGTTGAGATAGGCCCTTCCTATATAGCAGTCCAAGATCTTGATGTTGCAGACTCAAACCTGAAGAATAAGAGTGGAAATTTCTACAAAGCTAGTTTAGTGATAGAATTTAGTACCTGCCACACAACTATGTTGTCGTTGAGGGTTTTGTCAGGATCTGGTGGTTGAATTGATACTTACTTCAAGTTACAGTGTACACAGTATCAACTTGATTTTAGTGGTAAGGAAACAAACATTACAAAATGACCCAGCAGTTTATCCCTACAGTACCCCCAGGATATCCATTTCATTGAATAATGTCTTACAAATAATTGATTTCAGCAAGAGTTTAAAGTCACTATCATTTTCTAAAAATGAAACATGCATACTAATTTCTGTCAATAACATGAAGCATTTCACCTAAAACTAGCTTTAGGGGATAGCAGTATAGCTCAGTGGATAAATACTTGCTACACAAATGTAAGGACCAAAGTTCAGATCCCCAGCACCGAAGTAAAAACCTGGTTAGTGTGTCAACTTATCTGTAATCACAGCGTGGGAGGCAGAGACAGGATACCCAGAGCAAACTGGCCAGGTAGACTAACCTACAGCCTCCACATTCAGGGAGAGACCCTTTACATAAGGAGTGATCTAGGAAGATACCTGATGTCAACCTTTGGTCTCCACACGTATACAGGTCACAGAGGTGTGAACAGACATGCATGTATATATGCACATCACGCACATTCATGCAAAGGAAACTTCCCCAAAAAAGCTTATGTTATTGTTCTGCATTCTTATCGAATGTGGTTCTCTAGACGGATTTTTAGGTGTTAAAATACAGAGCAAGCAGCCTAAGAACTGGAATGTGGTAAGCCTTCAAAGGTCCTTTTCCCAGTTCTGGCAGAGGTTGACAGAGTCTAGTGTCTGTGGGTTGTTTACATGTGGTTATGCTATTTCGACTATTAGACATCAAGACACCCATGCTAATAGCATGAAGGTATAATTACCTAATCTAAACAATTTAGGGATATTCTTTGTTCCTGTGCAGGAAAGACTGAGGGTCTGCAACCGCCCTCCCATTGTGATTATACCATCTTTGTTTCTGGGCTCCTGTCACCAACCGTGGGATTTCTATAATCTCTTCTCATGACAGACATCAAGCAGCCGAGGAACAGAAGCAGAAGTTGGAGAAGTCTAGCTGACTGTGAGACAGATTCGAGCATGGAAAAGGAGTAGGGTTGGAAGTGGTGGTGGGCTGGGCCATCCATGGTGGTCCATGCCTGTAATCCTAACACTCAGGAAGTTGAAACAGGAAGACTTCAGGTTTGAAGCCAGCATGGGCTACATAGCAAGAGCCTATCTCAAAAACTGAAGTAGAGGAGATTTGGGAGTCATTTCCATAGAGCTGATGGCTGAAAATGGTGACTGATGAAGACAGTGTCGACAGGTGACAGAGTTAAAGACAGAGTCGTGGAAACCTACTTAGAGATCCATGAGAGAAAAACATCCACGAAGATGGGCTCCCAGCCCTGGGGTTAGCCTGGACTTAGTAGTTCTGGGACTCTGACCAGCTTCCTTTATCTTTCTGAGACTCAGCTTATTACTGTATAGGACAGTGGATATGGAAGCCCTTTCCTGGACTGAGATCATTAGATGAGGTTTACAAAATATGTCATGATTAGTTCCTCTCTGCTTCTAAAAAAACAAAGACATAGTAAAAGAAATGCCCACAGGAAAGAGATTCCAAAAGAAAAGGGTCAGGGGAGGGCTATGGACAATCACGATAGGAGAAAAGCTGGTGAATTCTGGAGCCGCTACCATCCTTGGAGCATCCAGAGTGTCTGGATCTTGGTCCATGGTGAGTTATTTCATATAATGGGGTGAAGTGTCCATGTGGGAGTAACTTCGTTGGTTGCTGATTTTTTCTTGCTGTAGCATTTTTTCTTTTGCCATGAGAGAGAAAGGAATGGAACTTCCAGAGTTCCCCCTGACAGTGCCCATCCCCCTCTTATACAGAAGAAATTTTGAAGAAAGGCATTGCTAGGATCCCAGCAAGGTAGAACAGCCGAAACGTGATGATCCAGGTTTAGGAGCATGTGAATAAAATCGTGGCACATACATTTTTTTGATATTTATTATTTTTATTTTACATGTATTTGTGTATTGCCTGCATGTAGGTAAGTGCACCCGTGTCCTGCAATGCCTGCGGAGGTCAGAAGAGGCTGTCGGATCCCCCGGGACTGGAGTTACAGACAGTTGTTAGCTGCCTTGTGGG